TTAACAAAAAATGTGTGTTTTCCCGAGCCACTGGGAAGATCTTCAGAAAAAGCTTAGATCATTATGATCCTTTCAAAGTCGTAGCCTCAGGCTGAATGGAATTGAACGGACCTTGCATTAAAATATTTCGATTCAATAAAACTGCCGTGTTGAACCACTTTATCTAGTAAATAGTATTTCAGTCACCAATAACTTTTAATCAAGAAAATTCTCTTGATATAAAATTTTATAGACTTTCATACAAATAAACTGGAATTCAAAGAGTACCTAAAACACCATATTTTAACCTCATTTATTAAGTGGCTAATGATTTCTTTGATGTTTGCAGAAAGTAGTTTTATGAGGGGGACTTATGAAACAGAAAAAGTTATAGCTATTGAGCTATAAGTAAGTTATACGGTCCGTTACATGAAACCATGAAATATTGATTTATAATTAGCGATATTACGGTTTCATAATTCAATTTTTGAAGACTGACACAAATTCATTGAAGTAACGATGAAATAGATGAGGTTGCTTTGAAGTACTATCTATATTAATAAATGAAAATGAAATTTGACTATTACAGAGAAGACGCTTATAATCCGGTTCCGTGTACATTCATATCGTTCAAGAACCACGAACAACTATTTCGTATTTAATTACAGTCGTCTCACGATTTTGGGCTGCCTTTGGGGTTGTAAGGGAAGAGAATTCTGAGAATTGGTACGTCGACGATTGTGAACGTAGGAAAATAACGTTGAGCAACAGAATATGTATTATATATCTAATTTAATAAGTTTGCTTCACGGCCCAAAATACAGTAATGCCAATCAAATTCCAATTTCTACTTTATAACGGGGGTAAGATTCAAACTGGTCAGAGGGGAAGTGGCTCATAATGGAATGGCCCAGAATCGGGAGATGATTGTACTAGTAAAAAATTCCTTTCATGTTACAGTAATATAATTTGCCAAGTAATTTTGCCACATTCTCAGGATGAACATTAGAGGATGAAATTATAGCTGAAGGTATATCCGAAGTAAGACAAACGAACTCGTAAGAACATTGCTAACATTAATGAAGATGTATTCGCACTGCTCATTCGCAATCGTTCGCTTTGTAGTGTAGTTAGATCGTAATAATTTATTGTCTTTCATAATTCATAAAAGCAGTCATTACTAATACATCAAATATTCATAAAATCGAAAAATAATAGCAAAGTAACAGTAGGTTATTTAACTTATACACATTAGGTCGATCAATCAGGGTTTTTGTCGATTACTACTTTACATGGCGATTAAGAATTTATTATCGTTCAGTAACTGTGTTACGTGAACCAAACGTCATTAGTAGATTTCATTCATAAAAAAGTATTTTGCCCGCAATTCAATGTCCATGGCCTTATAAATGAGCTTCACACGTTTTACGCTTTTATACGTGGCGATTATTATAGTTAAATTAAACATTTTTTTAAATCAATAACTTTCCACTGTGCGTTCTCATCTTTATCGATAAATCCAGGCAAAAAGGAAAAGTTATCGTTGATTTTGTATGAGTGACAATGAGATTCATAGCATATATATGTATTGATATAATTCGTCTATTTGGCCACCAAATCCCTAGATGACAATGAAGTGAAATCGTATGTGTTTTATCAACATACAGCATTATTGTTGTTTCTTTGTAGAAATAGGAATACTATTGTCTAAATAAGAAACTGTATGTTATTAATATTGTAACGTGTACTTTTCGTAGATGCGCCCGATGCACCGTCTCCCACGTCACAATTTCCAATGACTCCAACGCAAGAAATCTTTTTGGGCATCCAGTGCCTCGCGGTATCTGCTCTTTCCGTTAAGCCTTTTTCTCCTACGTCACCGGAAGTCTTCTAGACCGGTGGTTTCCGCGAGTTCCTTATACTGGAATGGTAGAGGGAAACGTGGGGGGCGGGAGAGCTGCAACCTATGCCCGGAGCGGTCGCGCTTTAAATGATGAACTTTAAATGAAGTGTGCGCAATCTGACGATATGTTCAAAATAAGTAGAAGATACAGTCTAACACAATTCTCGGTCGCGACTCTATACAATTCTAAAGAAATAACGTGTACGCGGACGTCATCTCGGGTCTTCCGAAGCTTTTTCCGAATCTTTTTTTCGAGTGGGTGCGTGAAAGGGCTCCGACCCCCACTCGTCACCCAAGGATGCACCGGCGAGTGCCCTTTACCCCTTTTCCTTTCTTCCGTCAGTAGCTACTACGTCTCGTCGCTCGTTGCACCGGTTCAGTACTTCACGCATTTTCTCCAAAAATCAAAATAAAAAATCCAAGAGAGTAGCCGAGTTAAGAATAAGAAGAGAAAATCTACACAAAATCGAGTTTGCAAAGTTAAAAAAGCTCCGAAGTCTTTCCAATTGCCCAGTTGAAAACGTAGTTACCCCCTTTTCGGCCCCTCGATGCGATGATCGCCGAAAAGCCCCGAGTCTACCCGAACTTTTTAGATCGCCTCCTTCTGAGCCTCGTCTTCATTTTCCGCTACGCTCTCGCCCCTGGTGACCAACCATGCGGCGCGCAGTACTTGCTGTTCTTCGGACAGCACCGATTTCTCCCGAGTCCATCCGATCCCGGGAGCTCGGCGCGTCCGCTTCTACAATACTTCCCGGGTTGTCCTTGCCATGATCCTCGGTCCTCGTGGTTGTTCTAACGACGGCTCTTGTCGGCGACACAGCTCTTCCGTTTCCCTATGATTCTTACGGAACGGGCTGTCCCGCGGACGCCCAGTTAACATACAATGCATTATAAAACAAAGTGAGCATCACTTTTACTGTCTTATTCTACTAAATATAATAATTTCATAAGCGTCAAATATAAAGTTTTCGCATTGCAGCGTCGAATTAATACAATTATTGTATCAGTGCTTAATACGTATCACGAATATATGAAAATATGAATCGCAAATATTCCGAAAGTCATATACAATCGTTATTAATAATAAAATCTGCAAGAATTAATTGTATGTTGTCCTCCGAGTGATGATTATAATTTTTGTTGCACCTCGTTGATTAATAATTCAAGTGGTTTTAATTTTATAGTAATTACTTCGAATAATTTTTAAATAAATATAATATATCGTGCAAGCAAAGCGTTTTCAGAACGATGAAATTTTTATGAACGCTCAAACATTTTACACCTGTTGTCAAAGCCAACGTTTCTCCTCTACAACGTAGAATTAGATTCAGCGATAAGCACGAATATTTTTAACAATCTTTTCTCCCGTGCAGTAACGTGCATAAAGTCTTTAAAAAGTGAAAATCCCAAGTTAGTGTTTTCTATTTTCCATTCATTCTTCCAGAAAAATTATACTTGATTTATTCAATGATTACAGCTCCGTGGAGGATTAGCAGTAACTTTTTCAATTTGTTTTTGTTTCCCTCAGAAGTTTCAAGTTGCCACTCCTCTTGTTCATCCCCTTTTCCATAGGATCTTTAGTTCCCCTCATTACGTACACTCCTGTCGTATCTGCTAATTGGTAAGATTAACAGCTTCAATACATCGTAATACAAGCGTCTGAACGAGAAGAATTTCAGTTTTGTAACAGGAGAAAAATCGTCCAAAGCGTTTCTTATAATCTTGACACAACTAGGTTATAAATCATATTTATAATTGATTAGAATTTAGTGTCTTTCGGGCATCAAAGCAGCATGGATGGGCACCTTCAAATAAAGATTACAAATCGAATGGTTTTCCATTCGTAAAACTATTTAAATCGTATTTTCAAATGCTTTTTCGAGTGGAAAACCATTCGAGATGATACTTAAATGATACTTTGAAATACTTTTTAGAGTGAAAAACCATTCGACTGTAATTTTCAATTTGTAGGTGCCAATCCCTGCAAAGCAGATATGGTACATGACTGCGATATATTTATTGGCTACAATAATAATTATTTTCTTGTGTCTTCTTGAAAATCCTTCTTAGATTAAGAAATCTAAAAATAAAGTAAAATACCCAGTTTCTACCAATATGAAACTGACCCTTTATATATCACAGCCGATGGCTAAAAGATTTCAATTATTATTATATTAATATTATATATTATGTCAATCTTACATTCTCACTCATAGACACATTATCGCTATCATTAAAAAAGGGAACGGTAGTGCTCGGCGAACTTCTAGAAATCTAAATACTGGTGCTGCATTGCGTCGTTGCAAAGTGTGAAAATACGCGTGACGTACTTGGCAATTCCTTTGCATGCTATCCCAGGCCGCAGAGCTGTTGTAGAACCGTGAGCTTCATTATATGTAGTGCTCAACGGTATATTATGTGGAGGCAAAGAAATTTCCTTTATGTTATTCACCTCGGAGTTTAGAATCTCCACTAAACATTCAACTGTCAGCATTATAAGTCAGGGAGAGATGATCATGATTCGAAAATGATATAAACACTTTGTATTATAGATTGTATGACCTTTCGTTAAATTTTTGCAAGGCAACTCGTAGAATTTACTGATGGAATTATGTCACTTCAATATAGTGTGACTCTGTCCCTTGTCCTCGTGGTCTTTTCTTACGTACCTGTATCGATTTAAGCCGTTCGTATTATACGCGAAATAAGACGTTCCCAAAATTTCGAAGGTTCAATTACAAATGTGTACAGTCTAACTGTGCACCTCAGGCCGGCAACTTATAGTATTTTGTAGAATAAAAATTCCTATTTCGAGTGGGACGTCACTGTAATATAAAGATCTAGACGTATCATAAATCCATGGATAAATATTGTCGTACCATCTGAAGATAATTTTACCACAGAGATCAAACGGATGTATTAGTTAGTGGTACTTGGATGGTTTCGTCCCTCTTAAAGTCATGTACCAGTAATCACACTGCATACAAGGTTATTTAGGTCAGACGTATAAACCAAAGTTATCATGTTTATTTAATTGTTACAGAGGAGCCAACTTCAGTTGGTGCGTTTGGCCTGAATAATCCTGCACACGGATATATATATTGCGACGTGACATTTTGATGCACGTCACAAAATTAGGCGAATTTGGCTACGTCGTGGGGCCGGATGGGTTACGGAGCGTTTAGCGTGGCGTTGGACTGATTTTATTTTAAGAATTTGTATTTATTTCCCTGTGGGGAACGTTTCGTTTGTTTTTGAGTTTATTAAGCCGATCCGAGAGGATTCGACACAATTTGTATTGGGACGGGGCCCGAGAGAGAGCCAACTACGGGCCTGACGGAGCGCTGTCGATGAGAGATGACGTCAAGACCGGAGCACACAACCTGGTGGCTCAACTACGCGAAGCAAGCGGCGAGCGTCTTCAGAAGCAGAGGGCATACAGGAGTTGCAGAAGTGGCGTGAAGCCGAATATCGAGGCAGTAGAGGTGGATGTGGTTCCCGCCTTCCGGAAACGGCACTGCAGCCATCCTATCGTAGCAAGATGCCAGGATCTATTTTACCGGGATCGTTAAAACCATTGAAGATCGCGAGCTGGCTAGCGGAGCCGATGTAACAGCGAACCTGAGTGGACCAGGGGGTGGTATTACAGCGCGCTCTCAGGAAGGTTCCCGATTTTGGAAATTTGTAGCGTCACTCACGGCATGGCCTAACTCAGGGATAGACGTGCTATCGTTTTCTACCGATTTTTGTGTTTATTGTATCGTATCGTGATCCGTTTGAGGGGCGAGTGTGTTCCAGGAGAGTGTGTTCCTGGTAATAGTAGGAGCTACTGGACAACGGTGAGTGACGTTCAGGGGTATTCTGGCTATTTTTCAATTCACGGGATCAATCGATCTTTCCTGTTCGACGTACTCTTACGCGTCATCCTGCGCTTTCCTGACCGCTAAGGGTCCAAGGATAACTAATCCGGTGACAAATAGAAGATCGCTCTCTCATTTCATTATTTCAATTTTTCCGGTTTTGTGTCTAACCGTTCAGTCCACGTCTCGCGGAATCGTCTCCCTAACACATGGGTGCGTGAGTCAATATCGTACCGTTTATCATCGTTACCGTACCGTTTGTTATATCGTATTGTATGTTGCGTTATTCCAGCGGGAACATTATTGTATAATATCGTTCGGGTAAATATCCCAGGGTGTTTTGCATCATCTCGATCAGTTTTCTGTACTTATCATTTGGATTTCACCATCTTGTTCTTATATTTTCTATTTGAAATAAATCGGATCCGTCCCCGGATTTTGATTCCGATAGTTTGTCGTTTCCAGTAGTTTTTAGAGTGAACCTCCCGAATTTTCAGATTTTGATTATTGCCTCTCAGACCCAGGACCCCACCGCATAAGAGCAGGTCAGGGTGTCCTTAGGAGTCAGTAGTGTAACTCTGGTTATACCTGGCGCCCAATAATTTAGTGTTTCATTCATTATTTCTCGCGGTGCCATTTATTCGTGCGACACCGTTAAAAAGTGTCGTCACAATATTGTATATGCATATACTGTGTACTGTGGAATATACAGGGTATGCCATGATAAATTATGATAAATTCCGAAAATCGATTTGATATTCTATCAGTATCGCGAGCTTACTGGCAAATCGTCATGGACGAATAAAGAATATTACTCGAGTAATAGATGGTGGGATAGTGGGAATAATGCCACGTGTTCTCCAGGCGAAATAGGAGCAAATCGCACAGGCTTTGATTTTTTAATTCTCTGCCGGTCGGTGTGCCCGAAAATTTACCGGAACAGAAGTATAGGCTCACAGTGGAAAAGCGGTTGGTCCAGCGCTGAACGCCAAAGTGAGAAAATCTTCCAATCGACATAATGCTAACTGAATCAGTTTGGCATAACCACTGCTTTAATTTCCGAAATACTTAATGGGTAGCGTAGGTTCTGTAATTAGAATAATGTATTTGGATTAAATGTAACAATAAAATTAATCAAATGAAAACTATCCAATTTCCACGGAATATTCAAATCTGATGAATGTGATTGAATTATGAACAATACACGTTTCAATATTACATAATCAGAATCGTTGCCTGATGATATAAACGAGGTAGCAAAGCGACCCTATTGGAATATTTCAATGCGTAAATTGTTGTAGCACACGGATCACATATACTGTAAGCTTGTATTTCAAGAGACGTGCAGTGAAAAAGTCCAGCAGAAAATGCCGTACAGCAAAGTAGGTGGCGGTGATACGATGCACCCACAGAGGCTTAGACAGTGGATCTGTGTTTATGCATACATAACCAATATTCATTATGAATTAGTATCGTGACCACATACTCATCTACAGAGTATTTGTCGAAATTGAAAATGAATTTCTCAATTATTCACACTTGACAGTACTTTTATCCTCTTATGCTTTCCAGTGTTCACTTTATTCATTCATATAAATTTGTCAATAGACATGGGGACACTGTCGCGAAGCGACACCGATTTTTGTAGTTTATCATGGATCACCCTTTATATATGAGTCCGGTCGTTACGTCGCTAACGTTGCTACGTGCCTCGAATACGTATCACCGGATCATATCAGTTACGCAATCACTTTCAGCACGATGAATGATTGACCATCCAGCACTTACAATTACTGTTTCTATATTACCAAAACATTACCACCTCTCAATGAACTTGCTGCTGAGAATATAAACCATGCGTATAATTCTAGTCATTTGTAGCAAACGAGCTAGTAATCAATCAGACGTGAGATGGAGATAACCAATTCGAGCAGTGATTTATAACGACTCTTGTCGAGGCAAGCGACATCTATGTTTTATCATTGCTTAAGCAATTAATTAAGTTTCATAAAATTAATTAAATGTCGATTCAATTAATTAAACTGCCATGAAAATACTTGCGTACGTATGATTTTTGCGTCTGCCGTAATAAGTCACGATAATCGTTAAGTCACTTTCATAGGCGCTGAACAAAATTGTATAGACACTACAAGCATTTTGCTATAGTCGAGAATCACGACTGAATTAGTGATAATCATTAGTCTCTTTCGTTAAAAATTTATATGTTTTTCTGTGGGCTTTGGCACAATTAGTGTTGTCATTGGTTTTTTTGAGTTTCATAAAACCCAGAGAAACGTTGATCGAATCTTGATGTCTTCATTGAATGTCTATGATCTTGAATATATAGGCGTTTGCGTGTTTCTCCAAATGCTCGCGTGTGCTCGCCTGTTGCGCTTTACGAGGAAAGTATCTGCTTCTGTTGCAGGTACCATTAGCTGCTGTTCTCAGCCTCTACAGACTCAGTACCTGACGTAAAAGGCAGCCTAAATGCATTGTCTAAGTGGCCGTTGCTTACACGCGATATTCGGATAAAGTTATCGCGGATTTTTGTAGGTGTTGCCGAAATGTCATTACTATGTGGAAAGTGATAAACACGTCGAACGTATGGGACAAATCTATTTCTCAGGCAATGTACATACATAAATTAATTAAAATACTGCAGTCCTTTTTTGAAATTGAATTATTTAATGATAACTTGAATGAATTAAATGGATCATTTAATGATCATGCGAATTTTAGCTTCCAGCTTCCTTGATGCAATTCTTAACAGTAACGTCGCTTACTATATACCTTGCCCTCCTTGTGAATTTCATGGGAAGGACCAGGTTTATCTCAGAGTCAATGTTCTTGTCCAGAAATATCAAAATATGTTTGACAATTTCTCTGTGATAATAAAGTTTAAAAGTGTGGATGATACCCTGATCTAAGGGTTGTAACTTACTGGTGGTATTAGCAGGCAAAAAATGACTCGTATTTGTAAGTAATAGGTAAGACCGTATGGGCAGAGCAGTTAAATAAAAAGAATGATTCTTTCCCTTTGTCTTTCATTTTCCTATCAACCTTTTTAATCCATCCCTTAAATATTTCCCTCGTGGTCCAAGCCTTCGTGTTACTCTCGTAGTCAACGGGTAGAATTTTTACGACTAGAAAAATAAATTTTGTAAATTTAACTGGTCCCTTCGCTTTCCCTCTCTTAAAGAGGCTGAAAATTAACCCTGTTCGAAAATTAAATTATTCAGACAGAAGTGGGTATAATTATATTCAGTTCAGATGTGAAATACAGTTCAGTGAATTTATCTGTGAAACATCTAGATCATTTTGATTTTATGATGACTAGAAGGAGTTTGTCCGTACCGGTCATGTTTGCGCAATGAAGAATAGTGAGGCGCTTCTTACTTTGGTTCCCTTCACGGCACTTTTCTCGTTTAAATGTAAAGGTTTTTCCTGGAAGGTACATGAAAAACAAACAAATTTCGTCCATGTTGTAAGTGTCATCTGGACCCTTTTGGGTCCGACATGGCAAAAGAGTTGGCAGATCTTCAGTCCATTGTTTAGATACACCTCGAGTCACAGATTTCAGCCTTTCTCAGCCTTTCTCCAGTGGCTTGCTTAAAAGCTGTCATATAGCTTTTTAAAATCCTCTAACCAGCCGTTCCAGGCTGAAAAGTTCTGTAATCTGAGCTTTGTGGCAAAGTTTTTAGCTTTTTATTTTAACAATGGTCCATTAATGGGAATATTTTTATCGAGAGTTTGTTTAACCATTACACGAGGGACTTTTCCACGTTAGAAAATTCAACAGCTCGGTTCCTCTTAATATTTCCGTATCCTTCAGAGCACTGCGACTTTACGGAATATACATATGTATATCTTTTATGATCTTATAAAAGGGTGGTCTAGGGCAAGCCAAACTCCCTCAGTATCTCACTTCGTGACTTCCCACCCTCGAATGTACTCACATTTTAAGTTTATCACTCAACGAAAACAGTTTAACTTCTCATTTAGACATCCTGAGGACCCGATCTACCTTCCCAAGCGATCGACAATTATCAACTACTTTGTCTTGATTATGAGCCTAATTTTGTAGGACCCGTTGGGAAACTCAACGAGATTTACGGATTTCTCGAAAAAGAGGAAACCGAGATACAGAATTAGCTAGCTGTACAACAAATCACACTGCACTTTGTTTCACCCAGAGCTCTGCATTTTTTAGGCTTATCGGAGGCTGCAAGTGAAGAGCAGAAAAAGACACCTTACGGTAATAGTTAAAATCCTCTTTTATACGCTTGAGAAGCATTATACTTTACTCATGGAAGTAGAAGCTATACTAAATTCGGAACCGCTAAGTCCATTATCCTTTGATCCTAATGATTATTCAGTTGTTACTCCATCACACTTACTAATTGGCCATTCACTGTTACAACCTGCTGAGAGACAATGCGTAGATGTACCTAACATCGAAGCAACACTATTGAAAGCACTGGTATAGGGGATATTTACAGCAGCTGTAGACCAGAACCAAATAGTCAACGGTAAACCGGAACATAGAAGCCAGTACTCTAGTTTTAGGTATTCGAGACAATTTATCTTCTCTACAATGGACAATGATCGTCTAGTAGAACTTCATCCAGGCGCCTGTATGGAAATGTTTTCCGAGCATTATCCAGTGCCAAGTTTATTTGACACATTTGTATCTGGAACAAAGTCTGGCTGACAATTTGACCTAATATGATTTGTTTGGTTGTTTTCTGGGGCCTACATTGCGTTTCAAATTTGCCTATAATAAATAAATAGAGTTCAACGATGTCAAGTAATAATTAGAGTCAAGGTGTTCAAAAAGCTTATTGTAGCTGTTATGTTAGACTAACACACTTGTATTAAAGGGGAACCCCAGTGAGTTGTCTACGCGTGGAAGATTCTCAGAGTAAGGAAATGTCGGACCCAAAAATTACAGCGCAGAAAGTACTGTGTCTTCTGAAAAATTAATGAAATAAAAATAAATATGAACTCTGACAAGCTGGTAGAGGTATCATGGCTGTCCTCGTAGCCTTCAACGATTGTGATGTAGCACTTGTCACAATATTTCACGAAATTCTAGACGAATATCGAAAAAAATGGGCTGAGAAATATGTATTAGAAACACACCGTATTACTGTGAACACTCAACATGAAGCCGCTAGAAAGATTTTCCCGAGCGAATAAATCGAGCTGTCAACCAGCAGATTTTTCTCGTTTAGAACTTCAGTTTTTTTGCCGTAGCGAACGGTACTAGTGTTCCGTGATGCCACAACCATGGCCACAACTAGGCCTCACATAAACCGAGCTGTGATTGGTGATGTCTAATCTTCACAATCCATCTTTAGTTGGGACAACTCCTTTTTTTTTAGGAATCAGCCACAAGGAAGGATCTTTAGCGAGGATGCGTTTATTCCCAATAGTTGCATATTTTTAGATCATGGCTCTACCCGCTTCGCTCCCTGGCCCACAATGTTTCGTCTTAAACGTTTCGTGCAGTTTCTAAACTAACTAATAGGCCAATAGTATAAACGAAATTTGTTCGAATCCGCATAATATGCCACTGAGCACTTACTGAAGCACGGGGATCTATGTATTATACAATAGTACTACGGCTACTGTAGCGTGCGAAAGTTAGTCAGGTACGTCATGCGCGTTTTCACGCTTTGCCACAGCGCAAGGCAGCACCGTCAACTGACTTGCCGATCACTGCAATTCCATTAAAATTTATTTATTCCTAAAATTAAATTCTTTGAACGCACTGTTATATATGTATACTTTAATATATGTTAATGACATGCGTGACAAACGTTATTGATTATGAATGCGGCTAATTTCTCGTTCTCATGGAATTATTTATGAGAGTCTTAATATTGTATATTTCAATATGGTATTATCATTCATATCGATTCCGATAACTCAGAGCTTAGGATTGTCTATGGATAATTATAATTTATGCAATTTTTATGAAAAATTCATGTCCTGAAAAATTATCTTTCGAAGGACCTCGGCATATTTACATTCGACAGATCGTATCGATAATTCGTATATATTAAAAATATTATCGAGCTATATTTATTTCATAATTCTCTTTAATAATCGTGTATATTTCAAAATAAACTTTCATTGTTTATGTATTTTCGTAATGATACATATTACCTGAAAATAAGTCATTTAAGTACTAAATCGTCATCTTTGCACCTTACGCCGGTATGTAATAATCTTATCATTCAGTATATCTGACAACAACTGCTGTATTATGAACTCCTGTTTGACGGTCTATGAGATGACATCCAACTCTCAGACATACAGTTTAATTGCAATATTCAGAAACAGTATCTGACGTAATATCATTAAAATTCGATTGAGTTGATGTCTCTGACGAAACAATCGATAGTACGATAATGTCAACGCTGATGACAATTTCATGCAAAGTGTATAGTAATAATCAATTGATAATGATATACGATAATGAGATTTTGATTGCTGCTAATTAGATTTAATCGTTAATGATATAAACGATAATTGTACATGGAAACGTTTATTCTGATTAGGTATCAAGTATGAGATATACACATACTCTGATAACCACGTATAATTATCTAAGATACTCTATCTAAATTTCGTTGCTGTTCTAGGTTTAGTTTAAGGATTATCAGTTTATGTATACCTATATACCATATAGGGTTATTCACGGCAAATGCACCAGCTGAAGTTTAACACGATTGAAAAATTTTGTTAATCGAGACAGTGGGGGCTTGTTAAAAACATGAAAGAATGTGAAATTCATGATATTAGTAATGTCATGATAACATCATAACTTATGATGTTAACTTTAATTTCTTTAATGATGCCATCCTGCCTGATTCATTAAATCATCGATTTACGGCTAGTTTCAGCTGGTGTGTTTATACTGTATATTTATCAAGATCTCGTGCCAAGCACATATAGCATAGCAACGGCGAGATTACTTAAGGATAATACAGGAAACAGTAAATTTGCTAGAACGATGATTAAAAAAATTATTTTCTCAGAAGAATTGTACCGTTATGTAAATCTAACGTACTGTTCCATTTTTAAAAATAAATACCTTTATTTGTTAATAATCAAATAAATCGATCCACTCGTTCACGAGATATCTACATGGAGATAATTTTTCATGAAAAATTACTATAAAAATTACGGCAATCGTAAGACACTGTGGCATCTCCAAACATAATATCTGTTTATTTTAAAATAATTTATTAAACAACAGTTAAATTTGAGGCACACCACATTCTTTATAATTGAAATACAATCTTAAAAATTTGGTTACTTAACGTCATACCGAGTAAAATTTAAATGTATACCTTATTCATTTCATAAATTCATTAAAATAAGAACCAAATTATCATAAGTGTTACACAAAATTTTATCGTGAAGTATATGTATTATCTTATTTGCTCATCGAGACCAAACAAGAAAAAGGCAGTTAATTTCCATAAATGTTGTTGCGGAATCGTACAATTTTTACCGTGAGGTTCTGTGAGAATTCATTTTTTTACTGTTGTCTTTTTACAGTGACTGTTTAAAACCGTTCGCTTGTTTTCGGTAGTACGTTTGTGGAATCTTTCCGATGACCATGGCCGTTTTTTTTAATTTTCTCTTTTAGCCCTACGGAAGTATATTCTTCAATATGTATTACTAATCGATATAACTAATTGTAAATAGTTAAATAATATAAATCCAATAATAACAAGGAAATAAATAAAAAAACTTCCAATACATTTTTTTTATCATTTAGGTTATAATCTGAATGTCTATTGAGTTTTACATATAGTTCTTTCAGGAGTAAATATGTTTTTTTGACAGATTGCAAATCCAATATGGAATAAAAGTCCAACTTCGGATGGTATCACCTAAACAAAACCGTTAAAAACATTGATCATGAATCATGGTAAAAATTTTCAGTTCCAGAACTGATTGTTTAAATCGCTAAATTTGAGATATGAATTTTTTAAAAGTGCGCTCGCAGTTACAGTTTCAATCAATCACAGTTTTCATATCTGCGATGTGATTAGCAGAAGCTAAATGGGCGTGAAAATGGCTCGCATGAACACGACAATTAGGATCCAGTCGACTTTAATATAAGTGGACTGGAAATCAATGAGAAAATCACGACATGCTTTCCTAATTCTTACTTATTATTAACTGTTTCATGATTCTCAAATGAAATTTTCTTGTTCATTGGTTAACGGCGATATAAATGAAATATAAACAATACCTTAACAAGGTTTATGGGGAATTTTCCCAGGTCAGTCGTATGATTAAGTTTATGATTAAATTTCTCATGAAATGATCATATACCAGGAGTAATCGAGTGTATCATAAAAGGTCTCGCGCGGAGAGAAAAGGACATGAAAAGCATAGGAAGACGGTACGGAAAAAAAATTTGGAAATTTGTCTCATAAAGTATGGGTTACGAGAACATCTCATACTTGTACGTTAGATTTTAAATTTAATGACATATTATAAAATAATATAAATATTATAAAGTAGTAAAATAAAAATATTATAAAGTAGTACTGATAAGAAATTGTTCAGCGATAATAATAATTGTGTAATGGGTGATTAATTATGTGTTGTCTTATGTCTTGCACTAAAATTAAGTTAACTTTTAATTGCATTGGAAGTAAAGTATATTTATAAAGACAAATAACCATTTAATATAATAATTACAGTACAACGTAAATTTTTTATGGTGTAACACGGCCCACAAAATACTGATTTTGAAACCTTGTGGAAGCATAGTACCAAAAACTGTTATATGCACTTGGCGCTCCTTTTCTACATCGCAGGAATGTTTCTGCCCGGGTACAGATATACTGCGTAAAATATAAACGTCGCGTGTAACGAACTAAAAATCATGATATATGTATAACATTTCATTCACAATATAATGGAGAATTATTGTCGTAATTTATAATCCTAATACATTTATCTTATAGAGTCGATTTTTTGTTCCAAGTTTGTGGTAATACTTAATTTTGTTCTATGAATTCTAGATGCGTATTACTGCAGTTGAAATTGCGTATTTGCGTAAGTTTATTATATCACGAGACGACCACGTATTTGAGTAAGTCAATACGCCTATCAAAATGTTGGACATGTGTGCAGGTACGTCAAACATTTAGCATGTACCATTATAGCAACCATTGTAAGAATTTCTGATTACGGCTGGTTATATAAGAATTCATGTTCAAAATACAAAGTGTCAGTTTAGTATGAATATTGAATATTTGAAAAAGTCCAGACTAACCTATAAATTAAATTGTACAATTTTTTTTCTCAATCCGCAAAATCCTATGTTTACTGCTACAATTACTCTTTTCACGCTTAAAATAAATATGTTCGTTAGCACTAATTTGTGAAGCGAGTATAATATATTAATTTTGTAAAAATAAACATTAATTGGGAATATCGACGTTGAAATACATATATGAATTCAGCAACGTGCGTGATACACTTGCCAATTTGAATATGCATTAATTCGGAAAGTTACTTTCCAGCTATAAAGAGTCAATGAAAAATAAGGATGACTATGCAGTCTCTAGAGAAGTGCCAAGTACTAGAGTTCCGTCACGCTATGAAACACATACTGATCTATATGAAGTAATTAAAGCCGAGTTTTTACCAAAGGTTGAGTAATGCGTCATGCGTGCCGGTTTATCGTACTTTCCTAGTTTATTGGCAGTTAAGATAAGGTACGTCGGGCACAGAGCAGCGTGCGTGCTGGGTACTCGATCATTTGGTTCTCTCCGTGTGTTCCAATTAAAATGGCAATTTACGAACATTTATGGCGACCGCGTAGCCAAATTATGTGACAATTACGGGGTACCATTTCCGGTCGTTCTCTCTGCCGGCGGATAGCCCATCTCGAAATCCCCGATACCTAGAAACTTGGAAACTCGCAATTACCAGGGAATCGATTAATTTCCTCGCAGCTACCTAACAGTAGTTCAACACTTCTAGTTATCCCGTAGTAGCGTTCGACTATCTCAATCTACATGCACCGAAAAGAGAAAAAAAGAAAAACTAACGAATAGGAATGCCTCTGACTACTACATGCTTGAACGATAGATTCAGCTCTAACAGATATATACGATCATCATAATACAGTTTAATAGCTCATAAATAACATACTACGTGGTAATCAATCCAGAACGGGAATTAATATTAACTGTGTTGTGAATATCGAGTAATTTTGTATTTGTGGCTATCGATTCGCTTTGGCTTTTCTTATCAATATCCCTCCGTATATTTATCGAGTTTTAATGTACCAATATTACTCGAAAGTATCGTTTGGCTCTTTATGAAAAAAAACAGCGGCAAAGTATTCAAAGCTATTATTTTTCGATTTCCGTAAAAAAATGTAACGATAGTTAATGTCGATAAATGATTGACCTAGCTCATTAAATAGCCCTTATACTTCTTGAGTTATCCGTTGAGAGTCGCGGTAGTTTTACCAATATTTTTTTTGTCTTAAGGGGTTGCGAGGGATTTTACAAGGACCAGGTCAAGAGTTATAACGAGCTTATCCCTTTCTATCCTCA